ATGACAGTGCTTCATAGTGAAAATATGAGTAAAGGATGGAGGCAAAGTCTGACTGTGGAGATAATGGGATTCCTTTAGTGGCCTGTCTCATGGCTGAAGGTCCCATTCAGTACCACTCAGAATATTGCAGAGGCCTGTGACTATGGAAATGGGTACAATCTCACATTTGGGTCAGGGAGAAGACTTCTGGTTCTACCAGGTACATGCATCCTGAAGTTTTCCCTAATTTGCAAGCCTGTTCAGGATACACATTAAGATCTGGAAGAATGCTATAGTAGCCTGAAGTGTCACCTAACTGGTGGAAGTTATTTCAAGGAAGATGTCCAAGCAGAATTTCTTGAGGCAGCTGAAGGAAAATGAGCTTACAGTGCTCTTCGTTCAGTTGCATTCCTGTAATAGCTAAGACAAAAACTAATTCTGTTCTTCTGACCATCACCAGCATTTCTCCTATTCTAAGGGTAAATCCATGACACTTCCATTGGCCTCAAGCCAAGTCATGGACGATATGTCAGATGAACAAACATTGAAATAAAAGAATTATTAAGAAAATATCTACTTGTGTACCACCATTTTATCTTTACTTGCAGGAGAATCCACCAAGGTATAATATACTTATTCCTTTTTAAACTGTTAGTGTCAGAAAGGGAACTGACCTATCTTTTGTCTTGTTGGACAGTAGTGGCATTATCCACAGGTACTGCAAGTGGATTCTGTACGTGACTGGGATATGAATCCACATTTACCAAGCTGTCAAAGCCACAAGTCCACCCTTAACCCTTACTTCTGGTAGTGCTTACCTGAGTGAGAGTGTAGGAACCTTGATGTGCAAAGGCTCCAGGTTTCCTGGAACATGTGAGTTATGGGGGTAAAGAGGATACAAGCTGACATTATCAAAAGGAGCTTGGCTGATGATTAAGCCAGTAATAAGTAATAAGCAACGAAATGTTAAGGGAAAAGTCCTTAACCACAAGGCGTGCTGAATAGAGTTTTAGGCGATTTTACAAACACAGATTACTCTGGCATCACTCTCAAAATGTGCAGTTCACAGCTGTAACCAAGGAAAGAATGATAATTTTTTTATCCCCTTCTTCCTGACTGTTTTTCTTGTAGATTTCTTTTGTACTTTGACAGTGTTTAAAATCAGTGTGTTTTGCCACTGCTCCCTTAAGTTACTCCCTGCTCTAGAATGCCCGTTGATCTGGCTGTCAGTGTGGGTTTGGAAAACGTGCCTGCGTTTTTGCAGAGGTTGGCATCAGTGTGCAAACCAGGGATATGCAGAACTGGCATTTGGGGCTGGAACCCAACTTCTTGTCACCCCGAGTACGTTTAAACTGTTTGTACCAGGAGTGGTAGTTACTTGTTCTCCAGGCATTTACTTGTTCTTTTGAGCATTTTCCCATCTTCTCTTAGACCTCCACTGACAAAAGTATGTTGAAATAGAGATGCTGTGTCGAAAGCCAAGGAGTGCTGGTATGTGGCATGACAGTGACTCACTGCAGGAAAGAACAGCTAGATAAGGTGGTCGTGTTTCTTATGGTTTTCTATGGCTAAACAGTCCACTGATGCTTAGCAGCCACGGCGCGGTGTGGTCAGGCATACAGCAAGGAGTTTGCATGCTGCCAAACACTGCATAACAAATTTAATGCATGCGTTGAGTTTTTGGTTATTAGCACATTCAGATTTGATTTATCCGTCTTTAAAATAGCAACCATATGATGTTTTGGAGTCATTCAGCCTCATGACCTTGAGGTTGGATTTTCTAACTCTTAGCCTAAGAATATATCAAGCTTTTTTTGTTCTAAAATCTGAAAGTGAAGTCCTTATTTGTCTAAACTAATGTTGGAATCTGAGCAGTTAGGAATTAGAAAATTTGCATTTGCAAAGGAAACCAAACTTCTTGTGATGCTTTTTAAGCCTCTTTCCTCAGTAAAATTTTAAAAGGCTGAAGAAACCTGCAAAGATGGAAAGAAGCTTCAAACAACTTTGTGTAGACAGCTTTCTACATACTTTGGATGAGAAGACACCGAAATACGCAGCTTCTAGGCAACAATTGATTGCAAAGTCTTACTGTTGAGTAAGAAAGATATAGTACATTTGTAAGAGGAAATAGATTCAAAGGCAGCTCAGGTGCTTCAGATCTGGAGAAGGACAGGCTATGAAAACAGGAGCAGTGACCACTATTTTGTGTTTCTAAATACAGCTACCTTTGTGCAGAATGCACATAGGGAGGGAAGGGAGGAGGCTGAAAGAAAATGAAGGCAGGATTATTTCTCAACACTGTGATGGTGAGGATGCATCAGGGATCCTGGGAATACTTGGAAATGAGATAGCATCATCAGTTTCTTAGACTGGTGACATTGGCATGTCAATGATCTTAGTTTAGAGTCTTGTCAGACAGTGTGGGGACTCGTGCTGTCATTCTGCAAAGGAAAACGTTGGCCTGGGTGAACTTTGTTGCACAAACACTAGAAGTTGCATTTTTTTACTTAGGAAGGGGAAAAATTCAGACACTTCAGAGTTCATATTTAAGTCATAGTTTCACACTGAATAAGGAAGAAATTTCCCAGGTGACTTAAGCTGTGTCATTGGTAATGATTTGACCTTGGATGTCTGGGATACTGGAGCCACGGGAGTAATTTTTGGAAATTGCACAAGGCTGTCTGTAATCCCAAGTAGTTTATCCAACTAGAAGTGCTCATTAGATAGACTGGTCAGCGAAGGGTATAATTTTGTTGCAAAAAACACATCTATCTTCGAGGCAATACCACAAATATAAAATCAAAAGTTCTTTTGACAGCTGAATTGCAATAAAAAATTGTTTTCTTCCACCTGTATTTAGAGAGGGATTTCAGGATTAATTACTTGAATACTTTTGTTATTGCTCAGTATAAAAATTGGATGTTTTCAAATTCATTTATTTCATGGCTGAATGGATAGTTAGTCTCAGTTCAAGTTTATTGTTTGAGTTGAAATTATTTATTTCCCCCTATAAATGAACTTTCTGGTGTAAAAATACTGAAAGCTGTTTCTGACGGTTAAAACCCATGCTGGTTTTGGAAGAAAAAGCCTACCCAAATGTTTTATGAAAATGACAGCTCTCAGAAAATTAATGGACTGCCTCCTCAAGCCTTTGTTTCCAGGGACAATTATTGCACAAATGGTTCAACTCTAAATGGCCAACAAACTCAATTACGCTATTTCCAGTCTGACCAGAGACTGAAGGATTCTGCTCTGGAGGGAATGGATAATGAGGTGATTCTTCATAGAATAGCAGTTGTGTGTTAAATCGGTTCAGCTTTCTGTTTGGGGAAAAAATAAAAGACACAGATCTTTGGTGTTGACAAAACTCAAACTGCTCTCCCACAGAACTCTACTGCAGTTCAGCTTTCATTGTGGAATGGTCAGGGATGGTATTGAGATAGCTCCTCTTCATCCACCTGGGAGATGTGCTTCGGTGAGGATGCAGTTAGGCAAGGTTGAGAGATCAGAGCATCCTTATTTACTTCTCAAACTTTCTTAAATAAAGGTCACAGATACCAACACAGCAACTCCAACACATCCACCACCTTGTTAAAACAGAATAACAGGAAATGTAGCTCACAGTGCTGTGGTCGCATTAGCTGGTATTTACCAAGTCTGCTTTCTGCAGGCTTTCAAAACAGCATGCAAATATGCAAAGGAACAAATTGGAAAATGCTTCCAGTGACAGAACAAAGCCAGCAGCCACTAAGAATGAGAAATGAGTAGATGGTTCAGCAGATGGTGCTGAAGCTGCCAGCAAAAACAAAAAACATTTTTAAAATCTGCACAAGATAAAAGCATTGCAAAGGCAGTGGGAAAAACACATACAGTAATTTAGAGAGAGTTGGATTTGCAGCTCTTCTGATAGCAGAGCACTTGTGAAAGAGAAGAACAGATCCAGCTATTTCTCTTTTTTTTTTTTGTATCCTTGTACCCCATATTAATGATACAGACTGGTTCATTTGTGTTTCTTTTTTTGCTGTTGTTTGCTTTTTAAATGGGGCCTACCATCCATGTCCCTTCCAGGCTTACCATCAAGGTCCCTTGCAGTCCCTGTTATTCTCTGATTCTGTGATCCAGCTTTTTTAAAATCTGAATATATCACTGAAATCTGTTCCCAAAAGAATAACCATACTAAAAAAAAAAAAAAAAAAAAAAAGGTAATAATAAATTGTGCTGTCAGTTTGCAAAATGTAATGAAACATTTATTTAATCTTTCTTTCCCTAAATGAGAACATGTGTTGGTACTTTGCAGTGGCTTTCGTATCTTTTTCCCATAGGAGCATCGTTAGCCAGACTGGCAGTAATGTGGGCACATTTAAGATCTGGCATTATAACCAGCATCCTTCCACACAGCTGGAGGAAGTGGGATTACGAATATCAGTGGTGGATTTGACAGTGCATCTGCAGAAAGCAGAGAATGCCCCTGGGCCAATCTGTCCTCCCCAGACATGACTTCTCATGGCCGTGAAGCAGGAGGAGGGTGGTCTCTGCCTGTTTTACACATCTCTGAGTGCAGTCAGGTCAGGATCCTAAGGGAATCCCAGGTGGCAGTGTAGAGTTGAACAAGCTGATACAGAGAGGGACAGCTAGGTTAGATGTAAACCTTTAGGCTGTGGGTGGCCACATGGGTATCATTTGAGATGCTCTAGGGATCCAGATTGACCACCTGTGGCTCAACATGTGTCACAGTAAGCCTCACGTAGCTCCTGTATCTGCTGTGAATACCTTGGTTCACAAATGGTGTCCTAGCTCAAGATCCCTATGATCAGACAGCTTCCCATTTGAATCATGGAGGAACACCCATACCTGAGGTGTCAGTGTGTCAAGATTGACCCAGCTAATGTTCTAATGTTCTAATGTTCTAATGTTCTAATGTTCTAATGTTCTAAT